CTCTTAGACCTTAATTGTTTCATTCGAAACTACATTGAAAACTAACAAGCCATAGTGACCATGAAATCCATCCCCTGTATAAAGTAATGAAAAAATCAGCCTAGTTTTGCCGATAGTGGTTACATTACAATGTTAAAACATTTTAAGCTTCAATGTATCACGCAACTGTTAGAGAACCTTAGAAATTGAAGATCAAGTTTGTGCGACCTTCCATATTTGTTTTTGTTCTTTGCAGCTGAGCTGTACAGCTTATTGCACTTTACCTCTGGCTCCATATTTTGGGGGAGGGCTCGCAACACAAATGTGAACTTGACTCCCGTTGTACCGGTGTTCTTCCATCGAAGAAACTCATTTTTGAAGGGGGTTGGGACCAAATTCAGGGTCGTTGAGATCCGATCCCGCCCCTTCCATTGAAGAGTGCCGTGTCAATTTCTTTCAATTGCGGCCATCGGTCCCCTTAGGCGTCAGAAAAAGTCCAGAGGCGACAGTGGGGATCGAACCCACGACCGCGGGATCTACTAGCCGAGAGTCTGACGCCTTAGCCACTCGGCTACCGCGGCCCCCTGCGACCTTCCATACTGCTTGCCCAAACCATAACACCGCCACCTCCATAGCTTCTCCGGAGTAGAAATTTTGCGGTGATATATCGCTCTCCTGCTCTTCTTCAAACCTCAAACGAAACTTTGACTCATCAGAAAACAATATTTTTGTTCAATCTTGCTCAAAATTGATTGATGTCTTTTTGGCGAAACTTAACCGAGCTGTTCTTCGAGAAGTTCTAGACCAGTGACAGGACCTCTCGCACGTAATCCACGTTTTGAAAGTTTTCGCATTGCAGTGCATTTCTGACTTGTTGAAGTCGTTGGTGCATCTCAACGGTGAAATGTCGATTAGAGAGGTCGTTCGAAACAATAAATCGATCATCTCTCCGAGATGTGACGTGATGGCGACCTCATCCATGCCTTCTTGAGTAAGCTCTCGTATTTGTAGTAATGGAAAACCCTTTGGATAGCTGTTCTGGGAATGTTAAGCGCCACATATGCTTCTTCCAACATCCAACATTTCTGTATATACTTAAAACTATCATTCAAACAAATTTGAAACTTCAAAATGGTACAACTTAAATAATCAAACCACCGGGAAGTTAGAAAGAAGCTAAAAGAAGATTTACACAATCTAATTGTAAATACAAGTGGGATATTGTATCTGTGTTTTATTTATTTATAATCCTTTATAAAGGAACCAAATATTGTTATTACATAATCAATGGAGGATTGGCTAAGAGATAATTAAAAATATTAAGGGTGGGCACTTTTTTGCCTCTCAGTGTAGAATCGACACAACCTAGAATCATCACTGCTTCCGGTTCGAATTAAAAAACAAAAAATTAAAATGAAAAAGGTAGAACATTGATGAAAGTGAGCGGATATTGATTACCGCGTCGATATCTCAGAATACCTTTCGTTTTACTTTTAAGGCTCCGCTCACAGCGTGAATTATGTTGGAATCGTTTTAATTTATTATGGGAGAAAAACAGAGTAAAAGTTCGTCGTTTCAATGCTAATCGCCCTTAAATTAACAAATCGTACGGAACGTCCTGGGGGCGGGGAAAGTAACAACGGTGAATATTTAACGTTGAAACGAGCCGGCCACAGGATCCGTCTTATTAAATGGGAAATGTTTATCGGAAAGCGATTCCGAGCAATTATACATCCGGGAATTTCATGACAGTCAAAAGGAATCAAAAGTATTCATTTTGCTAATGACTTATACAACCGATCATTATTTACAATCCAATTAACGGAATACGCTTTACAAAATTACATTTCCTATCACTAATAAAGATTAATTGAAATATTGTTCTGACGTTACACGAATCAAATAACAAAAATAAATACAGACAATTTTTTTGCACATACAATATTTACTAATCAAGATGATGCAAAGGAAAGAAGTTTAGTAACGATTATTATGTACCCCGAGGAATATCAAGTACTCTGGGGTGAGTGTATGACGTCTGGAGAGTAAAAGTAATTTATTAGCGTGAAAGGAAGGGGTTGCTTATAACCCCGCCCCGAGGAATATCAAGTACTCTGGGGTGAGTATATGACGTCTGGAGAGTAAAAGTAATTTATTAGCGTGAAAGGAAGGGGTTGCTTATAACCCCGCCCCGAGGAATATCGAGTACTCTGGGGGAATGAATGTGACCAGACATCTATGTTTGTGGTGATGTATATATATGTATTGTATGTTTTGTTTTTATTCTATATTTGACAACCTGAGGTACAAACGAGAGATTGGCATTCTAGAATATCAACGTAGTATATATATGAAATCACAGAGTCAGTAACCAGATCGAGACACTCAAATGGATGCAGTTTAAAACAAAATATGCACGAAAGAAAAGAAAAAGATGGAAAACTCGCAGAGGGCCGGCGATGACCTTAGCTGTTTGTCGGCCCATAAACTTCCCACTTATATATAGATTATTATGTATACTAAGCACGTGAAGAACCTTTTCCTAACATTTAACTATCCTGAAATAAACCTGCAGTAAATAGCATCATTAATAGAGAGAAACGCTCCACACAGAGAGCGTGTAGGCATACCGCCGGATCTAAGCCGGGAACGCACTTACCCGATGCAACGTTATGCGACGCTACCCGGCGCAAATCCAAAATCCAATTTTCCATAAGATTGTATTACATTTGCCCGTTGCCATGCAACGCTACCCTACTTTACGCTACGCGATGCAAGTCCTCACCATACAGATTTTCGTTGGGGAGCATCCAGTAAAGTTGAAGAGAAAAGAACCAGACACTCATATGTTTATTCAAACTACATGTATTATTGTCGTTATATTAATTACAACATACTTATTTTAATGTAAACCACTTTACCCGAGATCAAAAATTCATTAGTTTTTATTTAAAAAAATTAATTTTAATGGTTTGGTAGAAAATTGGTCAAAACACCGGAATACCATTTTTTGATGTAATGAATTTAACTAACAATTTATTACCTGGTTTTGTTCAAAATAATGCATTAAGAACAAAAGAGGCGTTGCGATTGTGATACTGATTTGTGGTACGCTGTGTGACTGTACGTGGCCTGCGCTTGACGTCGCATATATTTGCACACCCTACCAAAACGTGACAAGGCGTCGGGTAGCATCGGGTAGCGTCGCATAGCGTTGCGTCGAATAAGTTAAACGCAGTTAAAGCGTCTTGAGACAAGCGTTTCGTTTCTCGTCAGGCAACAAACCGAGCCTTTTCTTGAAAGAATAATCACTCGCGATGAAAAATAGATTGCATTTGCAACGTCGGTCAGGGCAGTAATTAAACATCGATGAAAGAACCAGGACCCATGCTAAAACCAAATTTGCACCCAAAAATTTGATGGTGCAGATACGGTGGTCCATGGCTGGAATTATTCACTATTTTTTTGTTTTTTGCCTAGAGGTGAGACCATTACCTCTACATCGTATTGCAAGGAAATTGACGAAATGTATTTAAAAAATACTCAAAAAATAACCTTCATTCGTAAATTGGAAAGGTCCTACACTCCTCTACGACAACGCCAGGCCACATGTTTTAAAATCTCTTCATTAAACAAATTGAAAGAGGTTTTTAGTTGAGATGAAAAAAAGTTAATGGCACGAGCGGGATTCGAACGATAGGAGGAAGTTGATGTCCGAGTGGATCGAGGTCACGATAGCTCAAGTGGTAGAGCAGCGGCGTAACTAACCGAAGATCGTGGGTTCGAATCCCGCTCGTGCCATTACCTTTTTTTCATCTCAACTAAAAACCTTAATTAATTGTAATGTATTAATTGGTCAAGCGGACCACGAAATTAGTGAATTTAATGATTAAAATGAAGTACACTTCACTAAAGCTCTCCGTGGCCATTTCATTTATCGTCGAGAATCCAATCCGATTACACGACATTTTAAAAATGGCAAAAAGGAGGGAAACTCATAAGGTGGGGTTGAGATAGGAAGTTAATGTCCGAGTGGATCGAGGTCACGATAGCTCAAGTGGTAGAGCAGCGGCATATCTAGCCGAAGATCGTGGGTTCGAATCCCGCTCGTGCCATTAACTTTTTTTCATCTCAACTAAAAACCTTAATTAATTGGTCAAGCGGACTACGAAAATAGTGAATTGAATAAAATTGAAAGAGCTCCACCCTATTCTCCAGACTTGTCTCCAACAGATTGTCACCTCTTTAGGAATTTAGACAACTTCGCCAAAGAGAAAATGTTTGAAAATGATGTTCAAGTCCAAAAAGCGTTTTGAGATTTTGTTTCATTTCAATGTTCAGAATTCTTCAATTCCGGCATAAAAATGTTGGTCACGCGTTGGGAAAAATGTGAAAAACTGAGGGTAAATACTTCGAATAAAATGATTTGGTTTTTGTATAGTAATTTTACTAAAAACTTTACCTTGGGAACGGACATTTCATGCGAAACAACCCAGTAGAGAGCTTATGAAATCTAATTTGATTAATCATCTTTGTAGTGCAGAACCTAATCCTCGTTGGTGATAAAGAATCACAATCTTCTTACCTCTGACTACATTATGAATTTACATCAAGTTTTATCAGCACCAGTAGAATTAAAATGCTTTAAAATTCTTTGTACTATCTACTAACTACTTGGACTGACAAGTAAAGGTTATTTATACCTGCCATTTTATTTGCAACGCATTGTGTTCCCAGTTTGTTATCAAGATTTAATAGCGGAATATATTAGGATAATTCCGTTCTGTTTTTATTTATCACTTGATAGGAAACCACGAATGAAAGGTAAAAAAACTTATGAATATTTATCTCTTATTTTATGAGGTTTGGTTTTTGTTTATGTTATTTTGGTTTAGAATAATTTGTTTACAATTAAATGTTTATCTGACATGTAAGATAAAAGGTTTTGGGTGTATAAAAATAAATTAAAACATTTTTAATTGATTAATTTATTTTGTAAAGTATATTACAGTACGAAATGCTCTCGTTCAATAAAGCTAGTACAATTACAGTTAAAAATTTCTAGTAAGGCAACATCGGTTTTTATTTCAGATATAAATCTTTTGTTTTTAACTTATCTATCTACAAAATAATACAATATCACAAATTTCTACAGCTACTTCATCATATTCCGGGCGACTTTTTCAAGTCGGCTTTCCCACTTATTCGACATTTCTTTGGTTTACTAGCTGATGAACTCGGTACAATACCATTAAAAGGTGCAAGTTAGAGAGACGCGAGTGCACATCTTACAGACATCTCTTTGAATAAAAAAAAATTAAAAGAAAATAATTTTATAAAACAAAATAAGGTTTAGGAACGAAAAAAAATATAATACACAAAATTTGACAACTTCCAAACGCGACTAGAGTCACCTCGAAGTTTAAATTTTTTTTCAATAAAAATTCTCTTTAAAAATAATTTGCTAAGCAATCTCTATGAGGACGGAATGTTTGATTTTTGGTCCCTTATCATCTACGTTTATATACAATATTTTGGTATGTTACACGCTGTTTTCTTAACAACTATTCACCAGTTTTAGACTGGTGAAATGAATATGCATGACTTTCAAAACTCATCCTTGACTATTTTGAACCCTTTTGGCTTAAAAAGGCATTGGCAAAATTTTAATTCTTTCAAATGACTGTAGTCGACTAGACCAACTGTTGTAACACATCTCTTTAACATATAATTATAACCAGACTTTAAATTATAACGTTCCCTTATAAGAATACCATAGTTACGTAATTTGTGTTTTTTGGTAACGATTTACAGAAATGATCTAGAATGTCGAGTTTTCCTTTGTACACAAATCATAGGGATTTTTCAAATTTGAAGATATGAGGGTAACTAGGTGCTTCGAGCAACACAGTTGCCTTGCGGTTTGATATTACAAGAATTATTTCGATTGGAGAACATTCAAGTTGCACGTCGTCATTTACATACAGTGCTCTTAACTTCACAATATATTACATTCTTGGTTTAAAAACCGTAATGGTACATCTATACAAACATGGAAGAACTCTCTTTCAGCAATTGCAACGTGGCTAGGCCTCGTTTCATCTGATCTTTGGCAGCGGCAGTGATGAGAGACAATTAAAGTTAATTTTTTCTATTGAATCTATTATTGTACAGAATATACACAGTATGAGCCTAATATCGTTTTTATACAATGTCCAGTTAAGTCGAAATTAGGATTTGGAGTAATATTAAAAATTATGTCTTACGAGATATTTCACAAAAAATATTCACGTTATATATTAGTTACGTACATTTTTAAAAAATTGAATCTTATATAACAAATTGAATAAATAAGAATAACGGTTTGAGAGCCCTAGCTGAGGAACTGCTACAACGCTACAAGTGATCATTTTTATCTTCACTTTTTCACTTGTTTGGATGTGTCTTAAGGTGGAAATCGGCATCTAAACCGAATACAACTCGCAGAGTGAAAGTAAAAATGATCAGTAATAACAAAACGGATGCAATGTGAAGTACAGCCAATAACTTCATAAAAATATTGATTTGTACATATTTAATTTACCCCTTATAATTTAGCGACTATTATTAAGGACCAGATGTTTCTGGAATAAGTCATTTGTTACGTTTTAACTTAAATTTGAAGTCTTACTAGTTTGATTATTATAAGGTTAAATGTATGTACACGCTTAGCCACCTTGCAAGTGAGAGACTAGTGTTAGGTAAAAACTAAAATAGAAATAAAAAAAGGACGCTTTTTCCTAAAGACAAGCTTTTTTCAGTAGTTGGCAGGTAAGTCCTCTTCTTTGATTTTGGAGCCCGTGTTCTGTACTTCCTTTTCCTGGGTGGTGGTGTCAGGCGTCCAAGGCTTGACGTTGCTGTCTCCGGGCCAGGCAGCGCTCGGATGCTGGCTCTCGCGGTGCCTTCGCAGGTCGACCTTCCTCTGGAACGCCTTGTCGCAGAGGCCGCAGGCGAAGGGCTTGTAGCCGGTGTGCTTCCGCATGTGGGTGATCAGGTTGGACGACTGGGAGAAGGCCTTCGAGCAGACGACGCATTTGTGCGGCTTTTCGCCTAAAAACAATCGTCAATTTACAACATGGAAGAATTTAAACAGAAATCGTCCGATAATAGAAATAATGAAGATGGGGTGAGTACGTAGAATCACGTTTTGTAAAATATGGTTCTACTCACAAATTTGGTGTTAAAGATCATCAGGTTGAAGGAGTTACAAGCACATCTCTTGTCATGAATTGTCAATTGACATGCTTGTAACTCGTTCAACCTGATGATGAGCTTTAATGCTTGAAATCCGGATAATTGCATAAAACAAACTTGCGAATAGAACCATCTTTTACAAAAAACTGTCCGTTAAAGTATGTCAGATTGTAAAATGAGACGATTTTTTTATCGTGTTGATTTCTATTAGGATGGCGTGTCTAGAATCCATAAAGGCTCAGGTGTCCAGGCTTTCCCTGCCCGGACAATCAATCGCATTAATCGTGAGGATCCCCGGTAATTGTACAAGTCGGAAGCGGCCTAATGGACCGGAAATTGTTAATAACGTTCTGGAGTGTTTGCATATTCCTACTTCAATTTTTAAACTCGTCGTTCTACAATTAACGTCTTTTTAATGAACACAAACGTCTCTTTCCGACCCGAATGGGGAGACTGGGGGTGCGAATGAGGCAGACGAGAAGGCAAATAAGTCGGGACATTTATTTTCCGCTTTGTCCTATTATAATAGACATTTGGCTAGACAAACGAACAAGCACAATAAAAAATGCATTATTAGAAAGCTTTTAATCACCCAATATGTTCTACACAAATATTACGTTAAATATAGAAGAAGAAAATAAACTTTATTCTGGGGCTTTGGGCCCACTTGAATAACAAAAAGTACAAAATTTGCCACAATATATATACATACATAAACATTTAAATGTAATAAAATAAAAGCGAATAAAACGCACTATTAAGTAAGAAGGGGGGAAAATTAACAGAAAATTAACCATCCTCGGTGTTAAATTATACTGGGGCAGTCAAGCAGGCGAGGCTTAAAATTGGAAAAAGTTGAGGAAGTTCCATGGGTTGTAGGATAAGGAAGACTGACTAAAGCGATGGATTTGTATGATAGGGGTAGAGAAAATAAGGGAGAAAATGAATTAGTATAGACGACGTAAATGTCAACAGATAGAAGAAGAGGAATGGGAAGAAATTACTTAATAGAGGAAGGAGCCAAGAAAGTATAACCTGTGATAGGAGGAGTACAGCCATTTCAAACCTCTTTTTGGGAGCTAAATGATTTATTATTTTTTTATTTATTTCATTCATTTACAGTGCAAACAGGCCAGGTACCCAAGCATAGGACAGTCAAGCAACACAACAAAACAATCATTACAATATAAACTATTAAAAAGGATATAAAAATAACAGCAATGAAGCGCCTACACTTTTAACAAAAAATCAATATTATAAATAGATTAATAAATAGCACAACAAAAATAATAAATAACCCTCAATAACATTTTAAATCTCGTTCAATATTATTTTTAAGATCCGAAGGGACGAGGAGAAGGGGTCTGCACTGATAGCGAATTTATTTAAGTAATGCACAGCTGTGGAGATTGAAGACTGTAACCCGTATTTGGTCCTGTGCCGTGAAGTGCTAAGCAATTCACGGGTCCTTAGTTGACGCTGGGGAACCCTAAAGCCATAAGATTATATCTCCGGGGAGTCAATAAAATTAATTAGGATCTTCCACAGAAACATAACGGAAGGTAAAACCCTTCTATTCTCCAGAGAATCCAGGCCTACTAGAGCAAGTCTGGCTTGATAGAAGCAATGATGGCAGTTCCTGTGATTATATAACTTGTAGTAAAGGTATTTCGTGGCCTTTCTCTGTACCCTTTCTATCATGTAAGACCCCATGTATCTAAAGAACCCGGCGACCAACAACACTGGCATACTATAACTGACTGCGCACCACAGATTGAAAAAGTAATTTTATTGCAAAAAGGGTTCTTAAAGTCAACAGTTTGCCTGAGTACGAATCCTACATTTTTAAACGCTTTATTTCTAATGGCATAAAAGTGGTCCCGAAAATCACAATTCTAATTAAAAATAACCCCGAGATCCGAGATAGTATCTACCTCATCAATGAACCGAAGGAAGAGGTTCATGATTCACTAAAGTCTGTTAATAAGCTCGCCGGTGAGTCCACACTAGATAACAACAACAACAACAACAACAACAACAGCCATAATAACAATGGGGAAGCACAAGGAAATGGCCACGAAGTTCCTGGTGTTGATTGGGAAGATTTAGCTTGCATGCCGGCATGGGTGGAGGTTGGAGAAGCAGCAGCGGGAGAACTGGGAAATTTTCCTAGGTTTTTGACAGATGGATAAAAGGAGATCGGTCGGTTGTTTATGCAGAACGGAGGATAGGAGTGCAGAGAGGAGGAATAGCATATAAACATAATTTTATAAACTCCTCCTCCTATACTACAAACGCATTCGAATCTCCTCCCACCCACGCACATATACATAAAACATGCACCAATACCGTACATATAAACACATATGCACAGTAAGAAAAGAAAATCGGAACATATTGAAACATCGTTTCACAGATATATTACGATTATTCCTCATCAATTTAATCGTTTAAAAGTAACAAAACACCAAAAATTCCTTCAGTTTCTAAAATTCTGTACAACATACTGTAAAAACATTCTTCAATATTAATACTAATTGTACATATTTACAAAATCAGGAATAAGGGAATTCGAATAGCAATAAAACTTCCTTTCTCAACATTTCGAAGAATCCTTTAGATTTCGTGTTCCGATTGACCAAATAACTTCTTTCAATTAATTAATCTTTTTGCAAGGTATTGGTTGAGATAAAAAAGTCAGTGTCACGAGCGGGATTCGAACCCATGACCTTCGGCTAAATAAGCCGCTGCTCTACCACTTGAGCTATCGTGACTTCAATCCACTCCACTTTTTTATCTCAACCAATACCTTACATAAAGATTAATTATTGAAAGAAGTTATTTGATCAATCGGAACACGAAATCTAATGGATTTAATACGTAAAGTGAAGTATATCTTCACTAAAGCTCTCCGTGGCCATTTCATTTGTCGCCGAGAATCTAATAGATTACACGACATTTGAAAAATGGCAAAAAAGAGGGAAAATTCTGAAGGTGGGTTGAGATGGGAAGTCCGAGTGGAACGAAGTCACATTAGTTCAAGTAGTAAAGTAGTAGAGCGCGGCGTATTTAGACGAAGGTCGTGTGTTCGAATCCTGCTCGAGACACTGACTTTTTTAGCTCAACCAATACCTTACATAAAGATTAATTTCGAAGAATATTTCTTTTCTCAAATTTTCAAATTGTTGATACTAATTTACAGGATTAAACATCTACTTAAATTACTGTAGCTTATGTTAGGTTAAGCATAATGAAATTAATAATTGAGTTTAAACTGAACAACTCGTCCATTTTTGGCCTTATCCCTAAATTATAATATTAAAACCTGATATTAATTATTGTTGAGATAATAATCAAATAAAGATTTGGATTGCGTTTTGATAAGTTCAAGTCTGCATATGACATGTATGTACACACGTGTACAGGGTTGAACCTATCCCTGAAAGGGTTGTCGAAATTCCCCCATTACCTATTAAATAACAAATCAAATTGGGGGTTGATGGGATTCTCAATATTCCTCCATCAGTCCTCTTAAACTAGACATTCACGCTAATAAATGCATTCACCCTCTACACAAAACTATAAGCGCTATATATAATAAGACAACCCTGTTTCCTCCAAAAATCGGAAGAGGTGACCCGAAAACTCGATACATTATTCTTCTTGTATAAAATTATTATACAATTTCAAATATCAGTAGACAAACAGAGTACAGGAATATTGGGAGTTTCCGATCATCTTGGTCCGCCTACCCACGCTGTTTTATAGCTGATATGTGAATATATTTGCCCATATATTTGAATTTTTAAATGGCACTTTGTCCCGTGCTAGTCTTAATTAAAAATATCCGATTCTTGAGTGAGTGCTCGGATTCACGACAAAAATGAAGAAAAAATAGACAAGGCTAACAGCAAGTCTATGTGGGCCAATGACAATGTTTAATCCAATGTAGTAATTCATGAACGTTCAGTCATACTCAGCATTACTTCGTAATTTTTAAATTGCTTTTCTATGACCTGCCTGCAGGATATTTAATGCTACGATGCCAAATTAAAAAAATCTTGACTACTTCATTTATATTTGTAATAAAGCGAAATGGAGGTATCTAAGCAAGCATTATCTCGTTACTGAAACAATGGTATGAGTTAAAATCGTATAATTTCCAATCATTGCCATGCTCATCAGCTCCAGCTCTGTGTAATGGTTAAACAACCGCGGGAAGATACGGGTTCGACCTTGGCGGGATGCGGGTTGCATATGGCATTATGTTTGAAAAAAAGAGAGAAAAACGACTGGCATATACACACATTTGTAGACAAATCACACCGGCACCGAGCTCCGGGAGGGCAAATGAGGGTGTAAATGAAACCCGACAGCTGCAGGTGGCCCTTTAACTCTTTGTTTTAACATTATCAACTTCCGATTCTCACATGGAAATTAAATTACAACTGTCAACAATGTCAGCCGGAAAGACGACGAATCGTTCGACTTCATATGAGAAGAAATTATAAGAAATATCACACATAAAACCATGAAGATTTTTCGTATTTTGCACTTTGCATCACTTTGCAAAAACGGCCAAAATATCTACTGCTAGCTACATCAACAAAACATCCTTTCAAAATTTATCGTGTTTATGGCGTATTTGTGACTCAAACATACCGATAATCAGGAAAATTCGTAGGAGTTTAAAGGGTTTAATAATCGTCACAATCAAAATTAGTAAAGAAATTTTATATTCGGTAAAATAATCTTTGTGGGTATATACAACCTTCTCCCAACGAGTTAGTAGCATTATGCCCTTCCTAAATAAGTTTGGGTCCCGGGACGAAAAAAAATTTTAAAAAAATAAAAAA